TGAAGCATACTTGTTGCTACCCATCTGCATGGGTATTATTGCTTCTGATTTATGGTCGATCTTTGGATCCCAATTTTCTTTGTAATGGACATTAAGTACGTTAGGGCGGAAGGCGGTAAATGGACTTAGTCCTTTTTGTGACGCATAAATGTTTGTGCCGTATTGTGTTCTTAAGATCAGCTCGCCCTGTCGGTCAGCTTCGATAATTCCTAGATCCTTCGTTTTGTAGATGTTCGATCTTGGCATTCCAAAGCCGGTCATGCCTTTCTGAGAGGCGTATTTATTGGTCCCAGTTTGTAGGGACAACACAGTTGAACCGCCTTTCAGCTGTTCGTAAGTCCATTTTCGACTCTAAAATGTTATCTAGAGTTGCACGACAAATATTTTTGTTTCGCATATGAAAATCGTTATATCCGTCGAAGAGTCCGCTCTGTCGTCATTTTCATCTTTAAGTCTTGCGATTAAGACCTAAATCGTTTTCAACGTCGTCTGAGAAACTCTCTGATTGTTCAATGCCTCATCTTCACTTCATTCGTCCTTTAGTGTAAAGCTGCCAGCATCGCAAAGAACGACAAAGCCTATCTGTCAACCAGCCACCCACAATTCCTGTAAGATAGCCGTTGCTTAATGCAGCAATAAACTTGATCTCGTATAGCACTGTTTGGCTGAAATCATAATAAAGATTACAATTAAGCCGCCAGTCAGGGTGCACTTATGCCTGAAATTAGTTTCCATCATTACTGTTAGAATATCATCATAAAATAGAATTTGATAAACTAAGAAATTCATGGTAATATCTGCTGGCGCCATCGAATCGGCATGCAGTTTGTACGTGAATTATCATAAAAGGAACACTGCTCGAATAACCTGGAAGATCTTCCTTTAGTACTGAATCTTCTCATTATGGAAATCAGAAAAAATGATCGCTCGTTCTCTACATGCAAATCAGCTGGATCAGAGACCATTCACTAATCAAAAGTAGTTTCAGATTCATTCTATTGTTTCCAACTGCTGCCGTGGCATCCTGACTTCAAATCCGCAACATATTGCAGCTGCAGTATCGGACGAAGCGCCGAATCATACCTTTCAACAAGTTTCATTGCATCTGCAATAAATACACTTCAAAATAACTGCAGATATTTCTCGCACATGTCATTCCGTCCGATGGGTTTCACATGCGATTTATATACTGTTCGGTTCGAGGATAGGACTTGTTGAACGACTTATATTTTACCGTAGTCGATAGCCACTTTAAGCTATGCTATGAATGCCAGATACGCTCATCAGCACCAGTGTGTCATAATTAGCTATCAAAATTGGGTTCTCCAAATCAGATTTAGTTTGAAAATCGTTCAAATATGGAGCATGTTAAGCGGTTGTGGAATTCAGTAAAGAGATGAATACCACATGCAGGTGTAATATGTATGAGGAACGTCTCGAAGATGCATCTTTTGAACAATCAAGTCCCTCCGCAGAATGTGGATATTCTACTAACTCTGCCATAGAGTGCCTTGGATTAATGATTCATTTGCTTTTGGCGGGACGGACGTTCCTTGAACAAGTTTAAGTGCCTAGACAATATGAAAAAAATAGGAAAAAATAGAAAATCTGAGAATCGATAAGGATAATAATGCTAGTTGTATCAGAAACATGAACTGATCGAACTCTTATCACTTCATCTAGAACTCACGGTGGATGACATGGTAAAATTACCGGTCATTTGCGAACACTGTGTCAATAATACTTATTAATTGAATTTCGCACAGTTTACACATTACAAGTGATAAATATGAATTATTGTCACCGATCTATCTCTCGGAATTAACTGCCAGAATGTTTGTCTCCTACCACGAAGCTTAGGAATGAACG